GATTAACCAAAAAATGTTGTCAAATCTGTAGTTTTCTTACATGTCACAGTAGTAAAGGGTTGCATAAAAAGAATTCCTGGGAGAAAAAATCATTGCACATAGGCCCCTACCCTTCAATTAAGAAAGAAAAGCATATACGGATTGAAGACATCAAATATGATTTACGCTAAGGAAAACGGACACGTATGAAGTCTTAACAGATGTTTGACGAAATGTGAAATATGTTTGCCCATTAATGAAAACGAATGCCCGATTAGTCCCTTAATGCTGATTTAGACGAAATTGAATGAACAACGCGATACTTTTAATATGAATGCCTCTTTGATAGGGACGAGTGAAGCTAGCAGGCGATAGAATGCTCTGATAGTAAAATGTCATGATTCTTTTTGATTGACGAATGCCGATCTGCGTGATCTTTCAATTTCAATCTTAATAAGCCAGGCGTTAAATTGAATGTAAACTTGGTGAAATTGGCTGGGAAAACCTATATTTTAATTGATTTACGATCAAAATATGGAATTGAAAGAAAGACCATTTATATGCGGAGGTACCATTACGAAAGAATGTTCATGTCTTATAATTATATTAAAGCAATAGGCTTCCCAGTAGCACACGCGTTATTAAAAGCATACATAAATTTGTCACTTAGGGGAAATATCGAGTTACTTAAGATCAACGGTCTCAGTCCATCAAGATGAACAGATAGCGATGTACAAGTGGGTTCGGTCAAGGATTTCACTGTAATATTCAGTGCAGAAATGTGCTCCACACTAGAGCATATAAAGGGCAAGTGACGAAAATTATCACTGCATTATGTATATGTACCGCTCTATAAGCATTATCGCTGCATTGTGTACAACGCTGATAAGCATCAAACCACCAGACGTGTACACTTCAAGGCCATTACTCAGGATGATGTTGCGTAATTCATGACCTGAAGATGGCGGTAGGGATATACGTTGCTTGCCTTACCCTCTATCACCTTATGAATATGAACCTTCGCAATTTGAGCCTTAGCTTCAAACAGCTAGCCTCGGGTTCCTTTGATTCTATCTAAAATAGTTATTTTATGGCAAAAATGCCCTTAAATCTAATTGGCGGATGTCGTTGAGCCCTCCCCCTAAAAAAACCCAGGAGGTTGTCGTTGGCCAATTCATTGACACAACAATGAGTGGTGAGGAGGCATATGACATACGCATTGGATGAATGCATAACTTAAATTTGCCCACCGTTTCGGCATAGCCAGCCAACCCAAAATACCTGCAAATTAAAAAAAGACAGTTAGCAACTTATCAGATATGCTGTCAGTGGCGTATCCAGTGGGGGGGGGGGGGGGAGCACTTTGCGTCCCCTGGAGGATTTTTGTGGCCAATTTTTTTTTTCAGCAATGATTAAAATACATGTTTATAGAGTTCCTCTGACATCAATTCCACAAAAGCAAACCCGCTTAATAACCATTACAGTGCGCCGTGAAAATGTCCATATAATATGTAGTATGCATAATAATTGTCATTTTTGAAGAGCGCCCCCATTTGGAATATGGTTACCAGTTTAGTAATTAAAGTGAATATTGTCCTGCCACATCATTAATCATGCAGTATTATGTGTGTTTGAGTAAGTCTCCACGTGCCTCACGATTTATCAATATCAAATGTTAGGCGGTGATACCTTATTGGTGGATCGAACCTTGTCCTGGCAGCATGATTGTCCACGTATATCTCGCCGTCCACGTCAGCTCGGGTGCAGATCAGATGTCCCGTACTCGGTGTTTGTTCCCGGCTTGTGGTTTCTTCTGTTGCCGTCTGGGCTTCATTGTATCATGGTATCATCAGCACGTTTTCACAGGCCTTTGTTGGTAACCGCAGCGGGCGATTAGTGACCGTACCACAATGTCAGCAAAATTAAATAACTGAAACCCATTCATGACCGTAATTATACTTCATTCAGATTAGGTCTGCCAAAACAAAAAAAACCTGCGAAGTTAAGCTTTTTTGGATGTAGGTTTCTTTTTTTCGTAATAAATGGGTTGCTAACAATGATTTTTTACTCGACGGGATCGCCAAAACCTTTCGTATTAACAGGAATTTTGTGCTGTCCGTTTTGTCTTAAGCGATTTTTTCCCCATAGACATGTGCACAATTTTGCCGGGACCGAAGATATGTGTTTGTAATAACCAGATTTCGTCCTAACCGTTTTTGCTATAACGGGAGCCGACTGTACAGGCATGTATGCCCTGAATAACGCTTGCGCTACTGTAAAGCCTTAGCTTTGTAAATCGTGGAGGTTGTTTCATGACGGTGCTCCACATATATGATCTTCCTTTCAATCGCATCTGGAGATCATAAACGTATAATTATTTAAACCTGTCGGATCCAAATCGACTTGTGGTGTGGTGTGCTTTGGTTTTGGTTGTAGTGTCTGGGTTATAGTGCTTTGATGTTACTCGTTAAACGAGTTTGGCTGCCGTGTTTTAAAGCGAATATTAACGGGTTATAGCTGTAATGTGGTACGTTTTTTTTAACAATGTAATGTGTTGTCCTTTAATGAGTTGTAATGGGATAGATGTAATATGCGTATTGTGGTGTAACGTTTTACAAAACGTGTAATGTTTTGTGTTTATGTATCGAATTGTGATAGGCGTTGTGTCGTAACGTGATGTGCTGTCTTTGATACGACCCCCTTTTCACGTGGCTGCGACCTATGGGCCTCCTTTGTGCGACCAAAACTGGCCAGGTCGTCGTTGGAGGCTCAAAGGAGGCCGAACGGTTGCTTAGGTTGTTCAAAGGTGGTACACAGGATGTTCAGATATCGCCATGGACGCCATGGTCGCCGTAAATTTTTGAACATGTTCAAAACAGTCGCACAAGGTCGCCGAGGAGGTTAGTTGCTCAAAAGGTGGCTCAGGCAGAAGGGAGGCACAATCGGTTGCAGGATGCGCAATGGTCGGCCAATGATCGCCACGTAATAGATCCGTTCTGTTGCAAATTTTCAACCGTCAATCTGGGCGATGCTTCTGCCTCCCTTGTGCCTCAAGGGTCGCCTAGAAGGCAAAAGAAAGGCTGCTTGGTCGACCAGTAATCGCCATAGTTGCCATTGGTCGCCGATGATGGCACAGAGGAGTCACAGAGGAGGCTCAATGGTTGCCCAAGCATTGCTCGGGGGTCGCCTATGTTGCCTATAATCGCGTTGGTTGCCGTACTTTTGCAAGGGTTAAAAAGCCGATTTAATTAAAATTGTGTCGATTGCGTTGAATTCTTACTGTTATCAACATTCAAAATACAATTACTATTGTTATCAATATTCAGAATACCCAAAGTCGTCAGTGGCTTTAATATTTTTAGTGGGACTGTCCACGTTAATTTTGGGTCATTAAGGTTGCCCTGAAGTGGCTACCAGAAGGGCAAAAATAGCCTAAAGATCAACGTGTACCTATACATTTTCGGCACTATAGTTTCCCTTCACCTATGTATATTCCAAAACGAAACCACACTCCTGATGTAAGGTCACATTCATTGAAAATATATGTAAACGCACAACCTTACAATACGTGACTTTTTTTGTATTATACCCTTCTTATCTTCTAAGATTATCTCCGATTTTAGGTCTCGCTTTGAAAATTGTGCCCCTCCGTTTAAAGGAACAATCGCCAGATCTTTACCACTAGTATGCACCAATTGAAGCGAATGATTACATTCATCGATACTTGTTTTCCTTTGCGAAACAAAATTCTCCAAACCACATTTCCAAACTACAAAAGAAAAATGCCCTACATTACTGTAAAAAAAACCTATTTTAAGGGAATTAAACGAATAATGAATGAAAAGAAAAGCGATGACAGCCCATGTAGTATATCTACTAGACTACATCAGTGACTCCTTCCACTGAGTTGTTCTATTCATTGTATTATTGCATGTACATGTATTGCGCCATACGCGGCAATCATTCATGTAGGACCGACTTTGTGGTATAGAAAAAGCTCGCCTCTGGTCAATGCAGCCCTCGGCACGCCCTGGGGATAGGGCGCCATCATTCGAGCGGCGCTTCACTGTATGTTTTTTCTTCTTCACTTTTACCCACCGCCTTTTATAACATTAACAGGGTCCTGATTCCGATAAGTGTTGCAATTGCACTCTATCAAGAGATTCCTTCATAGAGTTCAAAAAATAATAATGACATTGAAAAGTTACATGTGAGAGTAATTAGAGCCCAAAATAGAGGATGAAATTAATCAGATTTCATTTGACGCCATATATATATTACAACAAACTTTCAGATTTTACCGGACAAAATTGGGTCAGGAAAAATCGGTTCCAGTTATCCAATTCTGTTCAAATCCAATCTTACTTTTATGAGTGCATGCTTCTTAATACGGCCGCATTGTTACATAACGGGGTAAAGATAAGATTTGTCTTCCACATTATCAGCAATGTAGTGTAGACCTAGCCTACATGCAAATTAAACAAAATCCTCGATTGGCCGTCGGACACAATGGGTCAGACATAATCGGCCGTGGGACATAATGGGTCGGACATAATCGGCAGTCAGACACAATGGGTCGTACATAATCGGACGTCGGACACAATGGGTCGGACATAATCGGACGTCGGACACAATGGGTCGGACATAATCGGCCGTCGGACATAATTGGTCGGATATAATCGGACGTCTGACGCAATGGGTCGGACATAATCGCTGTCGGACATAATGGGTCGGACAAAACCGGCCGTCGGACACAATGGGTCGGACATAATCGCTGTCGGACATAATGGGTCGGACACAATCGGCCGTCGCCCGTCAAAATCTGTTTTCGGATGTAATCGACCAAACGGACATAATGGTTGTGGACATAAACACAGAGGTACAAAAACAATCATATACAGCTTTGTTTTTGTACCTCTGTCATTTTGCCTTTTAAGCAGATCTTGTTAGAATCGAAAAGTCATGCCGCTTTAATTGTTTTGACTTCATAATCTTTGACAGAGCTGCCAACTCCGTGTACAAATGGCACTGAGCAAAACCCAGCCACCTCATGCAGTGAGATACTGGAGGCCTGTGAACAGTCACCCAGCGGTGTGTACTACCTCCTCGGAGCTGGAAATAAACAGGTGAAGTAGAAAGCGATATACAATAAGGGTCCGCTCCCTGTAATCATTTGATATTACTGTATGTGCAAAAATGCATTTCACTGTAATGTATGAAATAATGATTGTAAATTGTTTGGCCTCTTTTACAATTTCCGTAACTGATATTTTTTTCCTGATAAGTAGAAGGGCTTAATGAACCCGAAATAAAACTAACTGGAAATGATTGTACATAGCGTTTGTACATTTATTCAGTGTTGTAGTCGAGTACTTTTTTCCGAGTACCAAGTACTGCCGAGTACTTAGGTTACCGAGTACGAGTACTTGTACTTCCGAGTACGAGTACGAATACTTGTACTTGCGAGTACGAGTGCGAATACTTGTACTTCCAAGTACGAGTACTTGTACTTCCGAGTACGAGTACTTGTACTTCCGAGTACGAGTACTTGTACTTCCGAGTACGAGTACGAGTACGAGTACTTGTATTCCAAGCACGAGTACGAGTACTTCTATTTCAGATGGTTCAGCAGACCCACTCACTGCTAGCTGTTAAATGTGTTTGTGCGGATGTGCACAGAGGAAAATCAGGAAACTTTGATTTCTCCGCAAGCCAATCAACCATTTCAAACTGAAAGTATCGAAAAAATAAGGCCGTGGTGAGTCACGCTAAACCATTTTTTCCGAGTACTACTATTCGAGTTCGAGCTAGTACTTTGATGATCGAGTACAATTTCGACATGTCGAGTACGAGTACTTTGCTGCCCGAGTACGAGTACCCTCATTTCAAGTACGAGTACTTCGACATTTGAGTGCGAGTACGAGTTCGAGTACTCTAACACAAAATATAAAAAAGTACTCGAGTAGCACTCGAGTACGAGTACTTTCAACACTGCGTTTACTGTCTTTCGTGTACTAAATTAATGAAGAAAATAATATACAACAGAGTTGTCCACAGCAAACGCCCTCTTTTCTATATTAACATAAAAGAAATCACCGAAAAAACCTCAGAAATGGCAATGCGAAGACCAACAATGAGGGATAATTTGACAAAAAGGGCACTCTAAATATTGGATTTCCTTCTCTTTTTTGCAGAATTAAAAGTGCACTTTTGCTGACTAGTCTGAAAAAAATCCACGAAACTTGAGATAGCCGAAAGACAGTAATAGTTGTTACTCTTTAGACATGGATTTCACTTCTCTTTGAAACACAAACTGTATTGAGTAAGCGTACACTTCGCACCGAGGACCGACAGACAAAGGGAGAACACCAGACTCTTTTGACCTCAATTGTTGATCTTTTGTTGAAAAAGGTCGTCGATCGTGCGTTTATGTGCTTCATCTGTCGGAGTGTGCTATATTTCGGGGACAAATGAAACGACAGTGGCTTGTCCCCGGGAGTCACAATCCAACACTAAGGCCAAAAAAAATATAAGTCGGTCTCTGGTCAGCGCGAGCGTCGATTTTAATCATGCGCGTCGAACTTTTCTTTTCCAAAATGTTCCGCGGTAGCTCCAACAGCGCCCTCTTTTTCCGCACCTCCTCATTTTTTTTTTACCAAAGAGCACCAAGGAATTGGAAATTGCACCAAGGGAAATGATCGAAAGCACCAAGGCAAATTATGGAGGACACCAATGTACATGAGGACATCAAAAAAGCAAAATAGTATCCCACCTTGTCTGTACAATCCAAGCTTGAAGAAAAAAAAAAGCTACGTCGCCGCGTCAATTCCGGAACTTTGGTCTGACCAGAGACCGAATACTTTTTTTTGGCCTAAGGTGATCTAGATAACCTCATGACTAGAGTACTATAAGATTATTACGTTTGCAAATCCTGACCGACGCGGTACCATCTTATTTCCTCGGCAGTATCCTGTGTACTGTGAGATGCCTGATGGCTGGGCACGCTTCGGGAAAGGCAACATGCAGTCGGTCTGGAACTACGAAGACGAAGATGAGGCAGAAATCAATCTCGATATCATCTCGGATGATGAGATTGAAGCGATCAAGAACTTAACCTTCACTGACTTCATGATTCGCACCGATGTGAATTTTTCCTTGCTAGCCGACGACTCCAGGAACCCATCTACCATATACGCCCTCTATCTGCCCTCGCTCAAGACTGTGTCACTCAACATCCCGATGGATAAATACAGCGATAACACTGAGCTACGGTTTAACGATGCAGGTAACCATTAGTAAGGAATAAATGTGTGCTCCGGAGGTTTTTATCAATCGTTTAATACCGCTTAGAGTCTGGGTGCTGATAATTGCCCGAGCTGGAGGCGAGGGTAATTATCAGCACCCAGACACTAAGCAGTATTAAACAGAGTGATAAATACCGACCGAGCACATATTTATTCCCATTCATAAATACCTTATCCGTAAAAAAAATATCAAATAATTCGTTCAAAAAATCCCGATTTTGTTCAACAAATTCACTTCATGCTTTTTGAAACCACCCTCTAGCAAAATAATGGAGTGTTCAGCTGGCGAGTAAGATGTAAACAACCCTTTTATGGAGATTGACGCGCGCGTAGCATGTTCTGCGCGATGTCACGCAGAACGCACCTGGGGCGTTGCGTTTTGAATTTAGAACTATAAAATTCTGACTCCCTGGTAGTGTTGCGCATGCCTACGTGAGAATTTTGAACGTTCAACCAATGAAATTTGGATTTTTAGGAGTCCACATTTTATTGTGACACTGGAAAAGTGTTTAAGACCAGCTAGCCATGTCTTTATCATCCGTTTAAGACCGGCCACGTGACGGGCTCTCGACCAATAGGAATACCTAAACTGTCTGAGGTATTTATGAATAGAATTTAATCACTTTCTCAATTCGACTGCAATTCTGCATTTGTGATTTTTTTTAATTCTGTTCGTACCGGATCCGTCGCAAAAAGGTTCAGCTCACCTCACGAATTTTGTTACAATGTTCCAGTTTATATAAATAAATAAATAATAAATTGCAACGCTTATATAGCACTTTCCATCGTATCATATCAACAATCTCAAAACGCTTTATTTACCCGTTCATCAGGCCATGAGACCACGCGGCAGTCGATATCAATGCTCAATCGGTCCTTAATCTCACTGGTACCCATTTCTACTCCTGGGTGGAGAGAGAGGCAATTGTAGTTATGTGTCTTAACCAAGGGCACAACACCATGTTCCTGCCAGGATTCGAACCCATGCACCATCGTGCGTGAGTCAAACACTGTAACCACTGGACAATGGCGTTCTACATAAATATATATTTCAATTGATACTAGTCATAAATCACCGACATACTATGTCAGCCATCTCACCTTTAACCCATCATTCTTTATCCCATAATGAATCTGTGAGTGATTATTTGAAACATGCAGCTGATTGCAGTGGCGAAACTGACGTCCTCTTTGCACTGTTTGCAAAGGGGGACACCAATGGATATATTTTCCTGGATGCATGTTGACACAATAAAGAGATCATTTTTCACCTCCCCACAATTCATAGCGGGGCGGGAGAGATTCAAAATGGGGTTACACAGGCCTGGAGCGGCAGGTCCGTGCCCCTCCCGTCCCCCCTCTAGCCACCCCAGGTACTGTTTGGTTGCCATATAGGCCCACCGTCTATGTACGGGGTTCGTCCACGTGCACAAAATTCGAATCCTTGTAATTAAGTTTCATCGTTTTAATTCCAAGAAGAGTTTTGTCGTAGTTAAGATCTCAGTCATCCAGTCACTGGGTTACTTTAGTATGAGTTAATTGGACACGTCATCAGGGGTGTCTTGAGACCGAGGTGAATGGTAGGGGGAAGGGGGGGGGGGGTAACAACAACATCGCCGACGCACAGTGCTGTAGGGTTGCCAAGGTTTTTGTCTCGTTAAGCCAGGCGTCGCAAAATCAAAAAGTGTGCGGTATGTGTGTTTTACAAGAACACCCATACGTTGTGGTACTCACTCAAAAAGAACAATGGTACCCCATACGACGGTCTTTGTCTGACAGTACCCCATCAGGACAATTCGAAAGAAAAGGATAAGGAGGGAACAGAACATCCGATATGGCGAACTATTTTGGGGACTTTTTACTGTAAGGATCCAGTTATGGGGACCTTCTCGAAGTTTTCACGTTTTCACGAAGTGATTTTATGGTTAATTAGTTTGATAACTCATTAATAATTGTTTTGTTCAATAAAAATCACACATTAACGTGTCATTCAAGATCCCAGCTTTCAGACAATGCAAGAAAATATGGATTTTGAGGCTAAAACGATATTCCGATCACCGTTTCAAAACATCGTCAACTTAAATCGCTTGTATCTCGAAACACAAATTTTCTACTTTTCGGGGGTTAAGGTTTGGCTACTTCGTGGTGACGGTGGCGAAATGTATCAAACTGCAGAATGGTGTATAACAAATGTATAACAAATCGTCACCGTTTTCACAAAGAGCCACATAATGCCAAAAATTACCACTTTTTCGATTTCGATTTTTGTTCACTATTTCGCTAAAACATTTTACTTAACAAACTTAACAATTTGCGTTTATACGAAGAGCCACATATCTTTGTTACATTCTCAGCTGCGCGCACGTACATACGCACGCCCCTTCCATATGGACAAACATATTGAACCGAAAGGGCCAAAATGTAGGAAACTTGGATTTTCGTTTTCGCGAAGAGATCTTTACTAATTAATATTCACTAATTAACCAATTAATACAGTAGTGTTAATTCTAATTACTGGGTTCACATAAAAATTCAGCTCTCACAGAATCATGTGAAGGTTTTCTTACTGTACAAAGTTGTTGAAAAGTAGTATTTCTTGCAGTTTTTAATTAAGAGAAACTTCTTTTGCGATATCTCGAAAACGCGTTTTCTTCAAAATCCACATATGTGGCTCTTCATGAAAACAGTGACGGCTGCAGACTTTTTACGGCTGCATAAATGCATGTGCATGTTTTGTCTTAAGTACCAATGTGTTAATGCTTTCATTGGCCCGAAATTGTATGAATCTTATCAGCGAAGAAAATAAACATAATATCTACTGGTTCCTTGTGGGGTAGAAAACACAATAAAATGATACACCCCACAAGGAAGTCTTTAAAAATTAATCTACCCCACAAGGGAAACGCTATGAAGTTTGGGATTTCAATTGAAACAAATGAAAACAAAAGAATGGAAACAAAGGTCTTTCCCATATTAAAGTATACATGTTTGTTAGGCTGTCAGCTCCCACAATTACGGAACAAGTATGATCTTGGTATCCTTTGCGTCTGAGGACTTGGGATAATGGATTTACTACGATAACAATAACCACGAGGACATGAGCCAAGTCCTCGGGAGGTTTTTGTGTACACACTTTACGGCAAACTTTAAAAAGTCGAAACAATAGGAACAAAAGAAAGGAACAGTAAGTGTCCTCATAAATATTTGTAAAACACACATGCGTGTTTGTACCTGTGTTCTTGTATTACATACATCTCGAAAACAGACAAACATTGAGAGAACAACGGATTCTTTGTTGTCCTCGAAAGAACATCTACTTTTTAACGGTCTTTGAACGTAAATGTGTGTGGATAGTCTTTTGGCTGGTGTATTAAAGGAACAAAGGGAACAAAAATCCCAACCCTTGTGATCGAGTAATGGTAAAACACGACTGCACCAAATAACCGTTGTATAATTAATAGACCATTCTTACTATGAGGTTGTTTTTTTTACATAAGCCCCAGGATATTGCCCTAAAGTCGGGACTACATGTACATGTATCTGCCTTTAGTAAACGACTCAAATATTCTTTACAGTCTCCACTTTACACTTCCCCAGGTGATCGAGTGATGTGTTTTGGCAAGTATGCAGAACACCTATGCGGACAAGATGGCTTGCCTCGCAAAAACGAAGCCACGGAGCGTCTGGTTGTCACCAATGTCTACTTCGGTCCACGAGCCGTTGACCGCGGAGCAACAGCAACCAGGTCAAACTGGTTTCGCAATCGCTACACCTGGGATGGGTCTTTCTATAACCTCCTGGCAAAGTAATCAGCCCCTTTGTGGTATGGCGGAGGGCACGATTTGAAGTTGAATGTAGTTGTTTTGAGAACATCCAAATATCTATTATAAGATGGAATTTTGCGTCGGGGTGATATAAATCAAATTAGGTTTTGCCCTTCACCGACGTTTAAACACTGCATATGTTACCTCCCGAGTGAAAGATGGAAAAAAATCACTCGGGTGGGACTCGAACCCACGACCTCCCGCCCTCCAATGCAGACGTCCTACCACTCGACCACCGAGCTAACGGGATCGTTTTTGTTTCCATCTTTCACTCGGGAGCTGGAGGTAACACCCTGAGTATGCAGTGTTTGAACGTCGGTGAAGGGCAAAACCTAATTTGATTTATATCACCCCGACGCAAAATGCCATCTTATAATAGTTCATGCGGTGCCCGCTGCTATGTACATCAGATTCAAACCAGCCAACCGATCCCGTTAGCTCGGTGGTCGAGTGATAGGACGTCTGCACTGGAGGGCGGGAGGTCGTAGGTTCGAGCCCCACCCGAGTGATTTTTTCCATCTTTCACTCGGGAGGTACACACTGAGTATGCAGTGTTTGAACGTCGGTGAAGGGCAAAACCTAATTTGACCAAATATCTAGCCTGTCAAGCCAAGCTTTTCCCTGAACAAACGGTCCGGCAGCCGTTTTACCCTACTTGTCACGGCACACGTACACCGCGCCGTGCGCTAGCCCCTTGCTATAGGCTATAGCTCCGAATTGCCTGTGCCATGCCCCAGACACAAATCCGCACTGTACACGGACGTACAGTGTAACTGCGGCCGCGTAGTGGTTACTGCGCGTGGTAGTACGTATGCAGGTAGTTACTGTATACGTACCGGCAAAGTGCGCTGTACATGTATACGTACCGGCAAAGTGCGCGGCGTACGTGTGCCGTGACATGAAGGGCAAAACTGCTGCCGGACTCGGGCCGTTTGTCAGGGAAAAGCTTGGCTCGACAGACTTGGTCAAGGCTACCAAATATTGCGAACCTAAATAGTCGCGTAAAACAAGACGCAGTGGCGTGACAGGGTGTCCAATATGCAGGGCGCCGGAAAATCTAATTTGGCCTTCACTCAGATTTTGAGGAAGTGGAGGGCGTAGGCCAGGGGGGGGGGGGGGTGCTCCCCGTCATGCCCCTTTAGGCTCAACAAATTCGACTTGACTCCCCTAACAGTTTTTCGAATTATTTCAAAGAAAACAAACACTTCATGTCTCGTTCAACAACTCGCACGAGATCCACCACGGGAGTGGTACTTACATTAATTATTATGATACAGGTTGGGAAACAGTCTACCCTAGTTTAATTGAGGTGTCGTCTGGCAGATAGTGCATGAGTAGCCATGGTATACGTATGCGGCTCGGAAAAACAAAGACATTATTATTACTATTATTTTTGTTTTAATTTTAAATAATTTCTGGTAATGAAAGCGCCATAGGCACTGTAGCTCGCAAGCCTGAAGAAACTTGTAGAGAGGAAACAATGAGAAAAAAAAGTTTTAAGGGAGGAAAACCCCATAAGAATATTCTGGGGAAACCCACGGAATCTAGATAGGGACTGAAAGCCCAATCCACATGTTGGCCCAGGTGGGATTCGAACCCGGGTCACAGCGGTGGAGGGCGAGGTTATTTCATCTGGCATATTATATACGAGCAGTTTGAATTTCATATAAAATTGTTTAAAATGTCCATGTACATATATGTTTGGGTTTGTTGTAATAAATGCACATTAATGATGATACATGATATCCACAGCTGTTTTTTTTTTCAAGCCGCCTGCGTCCCTACGCGTGCTATTTCTAAGGGCAAGTTTTTCCCTCGTGGGCTATAAACTAAACTTGGGTCATGGTTTCGTTCGATGTTTCATCTAAATTGAATTAGAAATGTATTGTTAGAAAAATAGCTATTGAAAAATCTATTCAGAAAAATAGCTGTTTTGAATCGTTTTTACTAATGGATATTCTAGACAATTGTACATATGTGCCTTTTCAAAACAAAAATTCGGATACATGTGTTTAAGTGATACATGATGATTACTGTGCATGTGTAATTAGTATAAAAATATTCAGCGCGTCCCAAAATAGCAGCAATTATTTTCGCGAGGCTCTAGCGTCGCCGCGGAAATACGTCTCGCCATTGTTTTCATATAATTTTAAAGCTTGGAATATTAACTGTATCCCTGGTAAGTATTGGTTTGATTTTCAAAAGTGTTTTGAAATGATTAGTATTCAAATAAAGGTATGTCAAAAACACAAACAACCGATTTCAAGGAAAATCAATCATGCGCATTATTACCAATGTGGAAATGGTTCATCATGTTCATGATGTGACGATCTCGTTGCTTTTTACTTGCTGTGTTTCCTATTCTTTTCGATCCACGTAGACTACACCTTAAATGAATTCACAATTCGTCGTTTCAAGTTCAACTTTGAAATTCACGCGCAAGTATGTACCTTTTTAAAAAGCGCGCTCAAAGTGTGACTCGAGTTTGCATCTGATGTACCGCACCATCGATTTTCCTTGAAATCGGTTGAGTTTGTTTTCTACATGCCTTTATTTGAACATGCGAAAACTTTTCAAACTCTTTTAAACATCAAACCAATACTCGCCAGGGACAAAGTTCAGATTCCAAGCTTAAAATGGTACAAAAACAATGGCGGTACGTGTTTCGCGCCGACGCTAGAGCCTCGCAAAAAGACGTTGTGGGTATTTTGGGACGCGTTGTACATAAATATTATGCGTATATAGTCACTGATTAAATCGAGTAAAGACATCGTTTTCGAGATTTTGTTTTAAAGAACTCGAGTAGGCTTATTTTATTAAGATGACTTTACATGGCGTTAGGCAAGTCTTTTTAGTTGCCTTTGCGCACAAATGGATCTGACTTAGAGTAGACATGGTCACGGTCTCATGTTATCAATTAAATAGCAATACTTTAGGGAGAAACTGCAACACAGATATTTCATCTTTTGCTAAATAGAAGATTGACAAATAAATTGAGTAGTCTGAGCGGGTTTTTTTTTCAAATCGGCGCTCTATTTAGTTGACGCACTCCCGCGTTTGCCTTTGTTCATGGAGCGCTAAACAGACGGTTAGAGATAAAAAGATTTTGAATAATTTGTGAATAAGAATGGAAGTTTCAGGGTAAGTAGATCAAACCCTCTGTTGATTTTTGTTTTGTTGTGATAGGTTGTTCTAGAGACGTGACAATTTTTTTTTTTTACGAATTAGCCTTTTCCGAGACACATATACAGGGTGTTTTAAAAAAGGTAACCCCCAAACAATGGGCTGATATGTAAAGGTTATGAACTTGAATGATGCCAATGTGGCATCATCTTAAAGTGTGTTTCATTAGCTTTTCATTGATATCTTATCTGCCTCTCTGCAGTCACGGACGACCGAGCATCATTGATTTCAAAACAGTGCGCTAAAAGGTGTATGTTAGAGATGTTGGTTCATGATAATGTTGTCCATGAATGTTTGACCATTCTATAAATTTTGTTTATCATCACAAACACCTACTTTTTTCCAAATTTGCCTGATTCGGTGGTGAATTGAGTTGTCCAAAAAAAAAGTGCGCAATCGTAGTGGGTTATGCGTTGAAATTGATGTTTGAGCATAATTAAGTAGAATATCATGTTTCATGATTAAGTCAATCATTTCAAAAACTACTTGCTCCATAATTAGAATAATAACTACCTTATGCACAATTGTACTCAAAACAAAGCTTGGGCGTCGGTTCAATTGGCATGGTTTTGACTAGCTTTTGCTAGCGATATTTGAAATATTTCTGAAATTGTTCCGTTCCGAAGGTCACTCTACTTGAAAGAAAGAACTTTTATAATCATTAAACCATGCAATCACTTGCTCTCAGTGAGTATAAATTATCGTTCTATCATGTATTATATTAATACAGTATTAGACCAGTCAATTTGTATATACACATTCTCTGTGATTACTCAAATTTTAAATCAAAATTGTTTTTCAAGTTTCATGTTCGCTTTAGTTTTAAGAGACTGTTTATATGTTTAAAAAAATAATTATAAAAACATTACTCAATTGGGCCCACTCTTCATTACACCAAATAACTATACATCACCTGGAAGCTTGTTTCAAAAACAATAAGAACGTTTGTAAAAATACACTGTTGCAAGGGCGGCGATGTCAACATAGGGGGAGAGTAGCTTGGAAGTTCAAAAAGCCGGAGGGGGGGGGGGGGCTGGACACCATCTGATTAACTTGTATTCGAGTCACCAAACATCGAGTCCGAGTCCGAGTACGAGTCACCTCTCCGGAGTCCGAGTCCGAGTCCCGAGTCATGCAGGTCGAGTCCGTCGGAGTCCGAGTCATGAGTCACATAGGTCGAGTCCGAGTCCGATTCCCTATGCAGGTCGAGTCCGTGTCATGAGTCACATAGGCTGAGTCCGAGTCCAAATCACGAGTCATATAGGCCGAGTCTGAGTCCGAGTCACGAGTCACCTTTACGTATTTATTGGAAAAAATGTTATTTCCCAAACATCAAAAAAAATCGGAAACAAACAAGCCGTATGCACTGTGTATGTACAGTTTGCTTCTTCTGCACCGAAATGACTGCATGGCTTGAAAAGGAAAGGATTGTCTTTAAAATGTTATTATACTGTTGCAAAAAAACTGATTTGTGGACATTTTAGTCGAGTCTCGAGTCACGCAGGTCGAGTCCGAGTCCTGGTCCGCAGGGTCGAGTCGAGTCCGAGTCATTTCGTTAGCGACACCACGAAGTAACACTCAAGTGGACTTGAGTTCGCACCACGGGCGCGTATTTTACAGAAACGATTGGTTTTCGTTTTCACAAAGTAACACTCTGTGTACACTGTGCCGGTAATCGGTAATTTTCGCTTTCACTATGTTACACTCACCTTTATTTCACAAGTTTGAAGACTTTTTATTACATTTTTCTGCAATCATACAAAAGTACGGATTAATCACATTCCTGTCAAACGTTTTAGAACGTTTTTATCCAAATAGTTTTTTCCATAAAACTGTTGTAACTTTGTGAAAACGAAAATCGTTCGGGCCATGCGCCAGTGTCCGATGTGCGCGCGC